AGCAAAGGAGAATTTCCGACAAGTAAGAAGTTACACTAATTTTTTAACGCAATATATTTTGTATAAGATAAAATTATAATATAATCATGATATACTTTCTCTTAATAGATACACTGATTGCGACAGAAGTAATCGATACTATTTTGGTGCGTGTTGGAGCTCTGCATAGGCTACCAACCACATGGAAACATGACGATTATATAGTGGCAGCTCAAATTTTTCATGGAACCAGACCTGTAGGAAATCCAGTTTTGTCGGAACCAATGACGGTTAGCACGAATTTTTATCCAAGAATTTTATTTAATTCATGGTAAGTACGAGAATGCACTTACAATGATTGAAAATTCCAAATGTAGATTTAATAAAAATTATACAAATTGTAAGGTTGGAATTTCGTGGAGTAAGTGTGTGTCAAGTGCCACGGGAGGCGAGACTTGTGTTAGTTCTTTATGGACGTACGCTGCAGCCTGCGGAGCACGAATCTAACTCATCTGCGGAGAACGCAATGCAAAAAGAAGAACTTGGATGGGGTGCTATACAATTCTTCGATTATGACGGGTAAATGACGCGTCCGCCACAAATTGTTCTTTGCATTCAGCTTTTTATCTTTCTTGACTGAAACTTTTATAGTCACCTTGTATTTTTTGTTGCTTCATACATATACCTTTATATATCTTTATTTTAATTCTAGCGTTATGAGCCAAGGAAGCTTTTTTCTCTCTCTTTGGCCAGCTATCGCAGACAAACGATTAGGTCCAGCGCCAGCGCCTGGAATTCATCCCCGTGGCGATACTCACCCCATTATAGGACTAGAATTACCCGATTACGGAGGAAAAGTTTTATTTCCCAATTCTTCGGAATTGCGAGATTATGACGTGGAATCGTTAGATTTTAATTCGTTAGATCAAAATACGCAAGAGCTATTAATAGACATTACACAGCAAGATACATTTTCGAGGTATGTTGTAATTTTGTGATTAAAAATATAGATTTTAATTTTCAAAATAGTATTTTTTTAAAAGCTGATTTCTATTTCCAGACCACCTATCGATGAAAGAGAAATCTTATGGGAGAAAAGGCATTATTTACACGATAGACCTGAAGCTTTACCAAAAGTATTACTAGCTGCACACAGTTGGGATTGGGCTTGTCTACCAGATTTACACGCGTCGCTTAGAATTTGGAGTCCACTGCCTCCAGTACAAGCATTACAGTTACTTTTACCATGGTATGCACTACTTATCGATTATTTCTTTATTACAGCTTCTGAAGAACCGTTTTGTAAAACGTCATGTTTTCTTATAGCTTCCCAGATATGAAAGTTAGAGAGATGGCAGTTGATTGGATTCGCGAGTTAAGTAATGATGAATTGGTCGATTATCTACCGCAATTACTTCAAGCAATAAAACATGAGACATATGAAGCATCACCTCTAACTCGGTTCTTATTAGAACGTGCCTTACTTTCACCAAGAGTGGCTCATTATATTTACTGGTTGCTAAATCAAGCTCTGCCGGGACAAAGTCCCCAGGTACAGGTTGGGTGATCAACATTGGTGACGTTATTAAATACTTACGCATTTGCATTAAATACTTACTATATGGCTTGTAAATGAAAAATAACTTTTTTTATAACTGTATAATTAAAACATAGAGAATTTCTTCATGCGATATGTATTAGTAATATTAATAAGTCGCTAATATGTTATTTAAACTTTTTTATATTAAATTATAAAGCGCATTTATTTTGTAGAATTCTGCTGAAATCTCAACGGAAGATGACAAAGCAATTAGTTGTGCTCGTTATCAACGAAGATTGCAATTAATGTTGAGAGCGCTATTAGCAGTTATCGGAGATGCGCTGAGAAACAGTTTTCTTACTCAACAATTGCTAGTTAAAGTAGGTCTTAACTTTTATATCCTGTTTACTTCAAATGATCTTACTTATTTCAAATATACTTTAAGTTGTAATTTGTACAGAATCTGCATCAAGTGGCTGAAAATATTAAAGTTACAAAGGAATCTTTACGAATGGATACGCTTAAAACTGGTTTACAAGAAATACACTGCCACTTAAAGGAAGACGATGGAACATGTTTACCACTATCTCCTAGTAAACTAGTATTCGGTATCAATGTACAGACATGTGCCTATTTTCCATCGTTCACTCTTCCATTAAAAATTAACTTTATCAGTTGTGACAATGTTATAAACCCGGCGATATTCAAGGTACATTTTCGATGAATAATTTGTAAAAATATTCTGCAAAACATTATCTTCTTCCAAAACTTTGATATTAATACACACATCGTGTTTTTTTTCTAGGTTGGCGATGATTTACAGCAGGATATGTTGACCCTCCAGATGGTGCGCATTATGGACAAATTGTGGTTGAAGGAAGGTCTTGATTTAAAAATGGTTACTTTTGCTTGTGTGCCCACCGGCCACAAACGCGGAATGATAGAAATGGTAACGAATGCAGAAACATTACGGAAGATCCAAGTCGAGTTTGGACTAACAGGATCATTTAAGGATCGACCGATCGCGGAGTGGTTAGCGAAACATAATCCTTCGGAACTGGAATATGAAAGAGCGGTGGATAATTTTACTGCTTCTTGCGCTGGCTACAGCGTTGCCACTTATATTTTAGGAATTTGTGATAGGCATAATGACAATATTATGCTAAAGACATCTGGTCATTTATTTCATATTGATTTTGGAAAATTTCTTGGTGACGCGCAAATGTTTGGAAACTTTAAGAGGTATGTATATATCGTAATATTACGTTTTATTTATTTCTGCACTTACACTATACCATATTTTAAAAGAATAAAAAAGAAAAAATGTAATCTTGATACAATGTATTCTTGCTATTACATTTTTAATCAGAGATAGGACGCCATTTGTACTGACGTCTGATATGGCATATGTTATAAATGGTGGTGATAAACCTTCAGCGAAATTTCATCATTTCGTCGATTTGTGCTGTCAAGCTTTTAATATAGTGCGAAAACATGGAAATCTTATTCTTCATCTTTTTGGATTGGTATGTCTTAAAATATTTTTAAGCTTAGAGGAAAGTAATTATTATGTAATTATGTGATGCACTCAATGATTTTAATAATTTCTAATAAAACATATGATAAAAGTACGTACATTCACACATCTCACACTTATAATTTTAAAATAAAAGTTACATCTTTCTATAGTTTTCATGCAAAATATGATAATAAATTGTTAGAATCATATGTTAATTTCTTTTAGTTTCCAATAAATTTGTTTGCTGCTATATATATATATATCATAATCTTAAATTTTATATATATTAATATTTTCAAATTTTATAGTTAAGGTAGACGAATTAAAAAGAATAGTTCAAATTTAAGTAATTTAAATGAATCATTTTGGAAAGATGTTTTTGATGTGATGAGCTGATGTGTGTGTGTTTTGAATTAATTATTGTAATAAATGCAAACGCATTTCATATGAATTATGCAAACAATTAGACCGAATATATTTGAAATAAAGAATTTTGTAAGTTATGTGGTCAACCACACCGCTATGAAAACAATAAAACCACAACGGAAGAACATATCCGTGTGTTTTATCAGAAAGCGGACCGCTATCTCACTAAACTATATGCGATGTAGTTAATTAGTATTTATCGCCCGCGCTTATAATATCGTATGCTGCAGCAGTCTGAGTCAATCATGTTAAGAGTAAAGTGTTAGAAGTGAGTAAAAAAGTTCAGGATTTGTTGTACAATCCGACGGAGAGCATTTACACAAAGATCACAGCAAAAAAATAGATACATTAGTTATTTTCTAATATTTAACGAATATATATATATATATATATAAATCACAATGGATAATTTAATATCGCGAAAGAATCTTCTCAGTGATTTGCACAAACAAAGTATCATAGCGCGAAAGTTGCACGATATCGAAATAAAAGATCATTTAAACAAGGCGAGAATGAACGACTATACGACTTCGCAGATGACTTCATCCGGTATCCCTGGGGTGACCGTGGACGCAGTTAGTTACGTGCAGAAAGCACTGCTTCCTGGACAAACAAATCCCGAAGCAGCGGCGACTTTCGCTCGTATGATAGAAAGTTCACTGAAAAGTTGGTTTACGCAATTTAACTTTTTCTTGCATAATCTGGCGCAGATGAGATTCTCTGGAGATCACAGTGAGGGGGAATTACTATCCTTCATTCCGCGCACGTACACGTGAGTCTTTTACTTTTGCTAAACGTTATAAGTAAAAGTATAACGCTCCAAAAAATCGAAAATCTTAAAAGATTTTGCTCGATTTTTGCACGGATAACAGTTGATGTATTAATATATTTTTTAAATAATTATTACAGAATGCAGCAAGAAGGTGAATTAACAAGCGTCCAGGTTCATGGATATCAGAAACGCTATGATCCGGAGAAATATTACATGTACATTTTACGAATACAACGGAAGGGTCAACCGGATCCAACATATCTATTCCGATCATACAAAGAGTTTTGCGAATTCTATCAGAAATTGTGCATACATTTTCCACTTGCTAAAGTAACCAGGTAAATATTTTATATTAATTACATATTCTTTTTACAAATTCCTATTTTTATTTTTATCTTCTACATTGTTTAATATAAATATTGTAACATTATTATAATCTTATACACATATTCATTCTAATGCAAAAACTAAGTATTAACATTTTCTTACCCATACAGCACTGATTTCCAAGGAATGTCTCTGAAAACATCCAATGTTAAGGATGTTTTCAGGATGTCCCTTGGATAAAATGTGCTGTGTGCATATACTAAAATATTTTATATAAATATATGAGATTATAACATATAATGCATATTTAATTATATTCTATACAGTTAAATTATGTCTCAATTTCAAATATAGTGTATAAATAAATGCGAACAAACGTGTATATATATATATATATGATATATATAAAAAAGTATAAGATAGTAAGAGATGCCGAATCGAGACAAAAGTATCCCTTTTTCATGCTGAACTTCTGTATATATGCATGCATTATTTAACATTTTCCTCTTATTAGATCACTAGCTCGTTATCTGAATAGATAGGATTTTTTGTATCTGACATATTCTGATCTTTAGTTATCTTATTTAATTCCTCGCCACGTGCCGATTCCTCTTTTACATTTGGATCTTTGATGGAAGTAGAAGACTCTGCATTTTCAACCAAATGATTATTTATCTGTGGTTTGTTGTCAATGTCTTTTACCGTGATTTCCTTTGAATCAATAATTGACGATGATGTTTGATTTGTAAGATCTGCTCTTGAGCGGTCATTTTTCGCTGTTTCGTTATCACCACTTGACGTTGAATCATTTATGATTAAATGAGGCGCAGTTGACAATGAGACTTCCACATTTTTTTGAATTGCCGGCTCGAATGAAATTCTCCGATATAAACCCGTCATTGCTGGAACTTTAGACGCTTCTTTTTCCATCGATAGACTTGCCCGAAACCATTTTAGACCCATTTTCTTCCAAAATTTAATATTAAACTTCTGGAAATCAGTTAATTTATATTGAAGATTTTTAAATTTTAAACGCATTCTTAAATTACCTACAGATAACATTTCCGTACTTTTATTGATAATATTAAAAATATTTTACAAGCTCTTTGTAAATATTACGAAAATATTGTATCGTATAAACATAATATAAAATTACTCACTCTTGTGAAAAGAAACGATATATTAACAAATTGCGATTTCTCTTTCGAGAATAATATATATTTGTGGAACGTAAATTGTATCCTAAAAAGTACATTATATTTTTTATTTTGTTATCTTACAATATTAATTTTGCTTATACAAGATGACGTGCAATGTAGAGTGGTATAATTATTTTCTTCCAATTAGAAAAATTATTTATACTTACAATATAGAACTCTTAAGACAATTATCATCACCCGTGCTTTCTTTAGACGAAAAAAGCAGATGTTCCAGATCGAGGTTTAGTTGAGTAATACCTTTAAAAGTGGAAACTATTATGGCGTGTTATGCTGCCACAAATTCGCGACGCAGAGCGAAGACAATATGTCGTATGAGATATAAGAAGATATCTTAAACGCAAAAACTCTACGCCCACAATGTCATACCTTTTGATATGCGTTATCTTTAGATCATCTGATATTAAAGTCTGACATCTCATATCTAACAGTCTTAGTCATACAATGATTAACTTGCGAGCATAACACAATTCACTAAACGTTAAAGGAATACATTAATTAATATAACACTTTATTCACATTAAAACACTTGAGTTTAAATTCATTCTTTCTCTTGCTACAGTACAAAGAGATCTCAATGTGACTACTACTCAATACAGTGCTATATATCCTGTACGATCTCTGTTATGTTGTTTATTTACGATAGTATCTAATGATAGCTTGATTCTTCGAGACGCGAATAGCGATGTTTATGAATATGGAAACATCCTGTTCACTCGCATTGCGAGAATAATCTCGAATCTCTCTGTTTGTGTTTCACAGCTTACCAAGTGGAATTAGCGTGGGACGTTCTAATATTAAACAGGTAGCCGATAAACGACGTGCGGATATAGAAAAGTTTCTTGTGAGTCTATTTAAAATGGCACCGGAAATATCCCAAAGTGATCTGGTATATACTTTCTTTCATCCACTGTTACGAGACCAAAAGAATCCCGACATTCGTTTGCGTAAAGTCAAAGGTATATTTTGGTACATTTGAATTTTCTAAATATATATTATTATTATTATTTGTAAACGCTGTTTATTATATGCTCCGGAATATAAATCTGCACAACAACATTTATACATTTGTATAAATGTTGTTGTGCAGATTATTTTCACAATACGTTTATTTTATATTAATAATAAATTGAACAAAAATTAAATTATTTATTATAGCAAAATATTAAAATAATAAAATACAAATATGTAAATAATAGTATCTCTAAAATAATGATGTTCTGAAAAATATAACTTAGCGATCGTTTAAAACTTTGCGAAAATAATTTATGGACTAATATATGTATAATATAATATAATTTTTATTTATATAACAGTTGGAAATAATTGGTGGGCTGAGAAGAGAGTCAGAGATAACATGCAGAATGGTCAAATCAAATTGGCTCTTCATTATGTTCGCGGCACTTTATCTGTCATGGTTTGCCATGCACGAGGTCTCCCCAAAGTAGCTAATGCTCAAGAGCCAAATACATATGTGAAGGTATATCTCAAGCCCGATCCTACAAAGGCAACGAAACGGAAAACAAAAGTAGTAAAGAAGAATTGTCATCCATCATTCATGGAGATGGTAAATAAAGTCAGATTTTTATAATAAACATAAATTATAAACACTTAGAAAATGGATAAATAATAGATATAATACAAAGGTGCATTAATTGCTTAATTAGACAGTAAGCTTAGTAATAATCCATTTTTTGCACTAGTTGGAGTATAGAATGCCTCTAGAAGTGATCAAGGAAAGAACGCTCGAAGCAACGATATGGAATCATGATACTTTACAGGAGAATGAATTTCTCGGTGGTATAAGTTTGCCACTCGGACATGTCGACTTGACGAACGAAACTATTGAATGGTTCCCACTAGGTAATGTACGATGAAGCGAGTATAAAGACTGCCCTGGAAAACATATATAGAAGTCTCTTTTAATGCTCATAGATATTATTAAAATCTAAATGATATCATTATTAGCGCACAATATTAAATCTTTTTTATTATGCACAGCCAAGTGCAATAATCATCGTGCTTTATGACACAGAAATAATGTTTATTTATCTAATTTCGTATATCTAGCAGAACTTCGTTTTTCTTTTACGAAGATTCGAAAAATAAACGTGAAAAATTATGTGATATCTGAAAGAAGATAATTATACGCAGAAGGAGAGTCAACTTTTATAATAATTGCTAAAAAATATAGTTTATACATAATGACGATAGTATAGAATCTGAAAAGGATCTAAATTAAGTCTGCATAACAAGTAGTTTAGGAACGATACAAAATTTTACCATACAGAAATTTTGAATTATATATATCACACTGTATATTATTTTAATTATATTTTTAACATAATATATTTGAAAATATGACAAATTCAGCATGAATTTAATAGATTTATATTGGAGGTTTACTCTTTTATATACAAAATTTTATACACTTATTTATTTATATCACTTTTTACTGACTACTGATCAACAATTGTAAATAGAATGTACTTTATATCGTATAAGTATGATAATGAAATTTGTAACAAACTATTAGATTAAGCTCTTGTACACTAAAGTAGTTTTATGATTCCAGCGAAAGAGTTTGCAGTTTTTTATTACAGACATATATCTAATCATATAAAAATAGTATATGAAAGTTGAATTTGATACACAACATGTAGTGGAATCATGTTTTACGAACTTTTACGGTGTTATTTTATTAGGAAATTATTAATAAAGAAATCTAATAATTGTCTATTTATATAATGGCCTCATTTATAAATGTACTATTGATGACTCTGTACATAAATACTCTATCAAATCTGTGTAATAAATCATTTTTAAATTATCCATTATGTGTATGTTTCATTGCGTATATCACACATTGTTAAAAAATTATATTTTTACAATTACTTTTGCATTAATTAGCTCGGAACATTTTTACTCTTTTGTTTAAAAACAATTGCCTGCAGTTAAATAAGAAAAATGTTTAATAATTTATTCCATACGTTTTATTTAAATAAAAAAAGAATTGTTTATATTTATAATTTTTCATTAAATCAACTTCCCTCTTTGTCAGAAAGGTAATATTTATAAAAATAATATGTAATATCGATAGAACTCTAATGAAATGAAGTTTGTTAGTTCTCCTAACTTCTCCGCTGAGGCGCCACTAACACTTTAATCTCAGCCTCGGATCGCTTCAGACTGTTCGGACAGCGGATTCCGAGATCAGAAATATCAAAATGGTTAGATATCAAACAACACCATTTGCTAATAGCATTTAGAGAATATAAGCTAGCACACATATTTACGTACACGAACACGGCTCATGCTTAGTGTGTCCTAGCTTATATACTCTCTTTATGCTACCAGATTAACAAAGTAATGAATAAAATTTATTGAAGATGAATTAAAAATTTAAATTTTCAAATTTATATATGTGTCTTGAATAAATTTTGTTCCATAATTTGTACTACAGATTAAAATTCACATCTAATTCTCATTAGTCCTACCAAATTAATTAATTTTTAAAAATTAGGAGTCTTGTTAATTCCTTTGTTGTTAATTCCTTTATTTAATTTTACACAATTTAATAAATATATATAAAAATAATTTAGTATATATACACATAATTTATGCTGTGCCTACATCCTAGGTAGCAAAATTCGTCACTTTGACGTCAAATTCAAGTCATGTTTGTACAAATGACGTCAAGTGACCAAAAAGTGACCAGGTTTTTATTCGACAGCATTCCATGACATCATACTGATGTCATTTTGTGACAATATACTGATGTAATTTTCGTAATGTCAATCCGTGACATCATATTGACGTCATAAGTCGTCAGGGTAGTATAATGGTCAGTAAAAGTTCAAAATATATGACAAACTTTGCTACCTGAGATAAAATGTCTTTAAACATATGTATTTTGTATAGAGAGGCGTTGCTTTGTGCTTTTAAAGCTGTAATTTATTTTAAAACCCATTCAAAATTGTGTAAGATAATCGATGGTGTTTTTAATTCTTTCGTGTACTTTTTTCGCAAGAATTATGAATCGTAAATTGCGAATTTTTGGAATTCCTGATTCTGATTACTTTGATCAAATTTAACCACATTACAGAAATCTAATACTAATTAATTTAATACTGGCTAATTCAATACTGAAAATAGTAATTATTTATTTTAAATAATAAAAACTGTTGTTTAATATTTAGAATACCTTGCAGGTACTCTAGGTCCACTTAAATTACAAATATATGTATAATGCGGATAGAAATTGGACATTTCTATGATAATTTAATTTACTAAAGGACTGTAAAAAACCGTCTCAAATTTGCAATATTAGATTTCTATAACGAAACTTAATCACGGTAATATTAAGCGCCACCATAGTTTCGTACAATGCATTGCAACAATATATAGTAAAAAGACCAACGACGACAACCCTTCTGTCCAAAAGGTCTTTCAGGTTTTTGTGTCCTTTTTTTTTACAGCTTTTCTTTCTCGAACTTGGAGCGAAACTAATGCTGAAAAAAAATTGCCTATATACCTACATTTTTTTACGTGCAGTTTTTTACATGTTTATCGAGGGTTACCAATTGTAAATTATTGTGATATATTACTATATATTATTAAAGTAACTAAATCCGACCTACGAAAAATAGTAATGATGTCTATCGGATGTTCCGCCCAAAGGCAGTTTTTCTAAACGCTTTCCGAATGTGGGGATCAATCCAGCATTACAACAAATAAATTTATGATCGAAATTTGAACTTTATGAATTTTCATTTCGTTTTGCGAATGCACGTCGTAAAAAAGTTTCCAACCGGAACGCATGCAAAAAATAGATAAAATCCTCTTTTTGATATACAATCATTTTTGCACGCGATTGTTCTCATGGTGCATTGTCATTTAACGTTTCGTCAACTACTTAATAATTTTATAATTCTGTTATATAAAATATGATATGTAAAATTTAATATAAAATCTGCATTACATAAATATTTTTTACATAAATGTTTTTTTATATACATTTTGTATCTGTTTTACATTACTTGTATGTCTCTTTGTTGGATGAAGGAAGAAAGGAATGGGGAAGGAGGAATAATACATGGAAAAAAAAATCTTTTTATCGAAGTTAGGCCTGTTCCCGGCGGCGCTGTTAATGAGTAATTTTCTGGTAAGTATCCCACGCAATACACGCGAAACTTCACGAGAATGAGATAGAGCCGTTGTTGGAGACACCATCGTAAATATTATGCAATCGCAATTAATAGCTCTCGTGTGTACTTACCGAGATATCGTACACGCGCGGTCGTACGACAACTGTAACACATATGATGTAGCGTATATCATAGCACAATCATGCGTATAAAATTAAGTTATTCGTTTAATTCATCTCTTCTCGACAGCATCGAATTTCAAATGAAACAGATGATTATTCACGTTTCTTTCTTTTTAACTATTAGAAGTGTCTAAAATAAAACATCATTTGTACATATATCG